TCTCGCTGCTCAGTTATTTCCTTTTATATAATCTCTCATATATAACCTTACATTAGTCTATGGTTGACGGTCAGTGCCTGAAGAATCTCTCGCTGCTCAGTTATTTCCTTTTATATAATCTCTCATATATAACCTTACATTAGTCTATGGTTGACGGTCAGTGCCTGAAGAATCTCTCGCTGCTCAGTTATTTCCTTTTATATAATCTCTCATATATAATCTTACATTAGTCTATGGTTGACGGTCAGTGCCTGAAGAATCTCTCGCTGCTCAGTTATTTCCTTTTATATAATCTCTCATATATAATCCTTACATTAGTCTATGGTTGACGGTCAGTGCCTGAAGAATCTCTCGCTGCTCAGTTATTTCCTTTTATATAATCTCTCATATATAATCTTACATTAGTCTATGGTTGACGGTCAGTGCCTGAAGAATCTCTCACTGCTCAGTTATTTCCTTTTATATAATCTCTCATATATAATCTTACATTAGTCTATGGTTGGCGGTCAGTGCCTGAAGAATCTCTCGCTGCTCAGTTATTTCCTTTTATATAATCTCTCATATATAATCTTACATTAGTCTATGGTTGGCGGTCAGTGCCTGAAGAATCTCTCACTGCTCAGTTATTTCCTTTTATATAATCTCTCATATATAATCTTACATTAGTCTATGGTTGGCGGTCAGTGCCTGAAGAATCTCTCACTGCTCAGTTATTTCCTTTTATATAATCTCTCATACATAATCTTACATTAGTCTATGGTTGGCGGTCAGTGCCTGAAGAATCTCTCGCTGCTCAGTTATTTCCTTTTATATAATCTCTCATATATAACCTTACATTAGTCTATGGTTGGCGGTCAGTGCCTGAAGAATCTCTCACTGCTCAGTTATTTCCTTTTATATAATCTCTCATATATATTCTTACATTAGTCTATGGTTGGCGGTCAGTGCCTGAAGAATCTCTCGCTGCTCAGTTATTTCCTTTTATATAATCTCATGTATAATCTTACATTAGTCTATGGTTGACGGTCAGTGCCTGAAGAATCTCTCACTGCTCAGTTATTTCCTTTTATATAATCTCTCATATATATTCTTACATTAGTCTATGGTTGGCGGTCAGTGCCTGAAGAATCTCTCGCTGCTCAGTTATTTCCTTTTATATAATCTCATGTATAATCTTACATTAGTCTATGGTTGACGGTCAGTGCCTGAAGAATCTCTCGCTGCTCAGTTATTTCCTTTTATATAATCTCTCATATATAACCTTACATTAGTCTATGGTTGACGGTCAGTGCCTGAAGAATCTCTCACTGCTCAGTTATTTCCTTTTATATAATCTCATATATAATCTTACATTAGTCTATGGTTGGCGGTCAGTGCCTGAAGAATCTCTCGCTGCTCAGTTATTTCCTTTTATATAATCTCATATATAATCTTACATTAGTCTATGGTTGGCGGTCAGTGCCTGAAGAATCTCTCGCTGCTCAGTTATTTCCTTTTATATAATCTCTCGTATATAATCTTACATTAGTCTATGGTTGACGGTCAGTGCCTGAAGAATCTCTCGCTGCTCAGTTATTTCCTTTTATATAATCTCTCATATATAACCTTACATTAGTCTATGGTTGACGGTCAGTGCCTGAAGAATCTCTCGCTGCTCAGTTATTTCCTTTTATATAATCTCTCATATATAACCTTACATTAGTCTATGGTTGACGGTCAGTGCCTGAAGAATCTCTCGCTGCTCAGTTATTTCCTTTTATATAATCTCTCATATATAACCTTACATTAGTCTATGGTTGGCGGTCAGTGCCTGAAGAATCTCTCGCTGCTCAGTTATTTCCTTTTATATAATCTCTCATATATAACCTTACATTAGTCTATGGTTGACGGTCAGTGCCTGAAGAATCTCTCGCTGCTCAGTTATTTCCTTTTATATAATCTCTCATATATAACCTTACATTAGTCTATGGTTGACGGTCAGTGCCTGAAGAATCTCTCGCTGCTCAGTTATTTCCTTTTATATAATCTCTCATATATAACCTTACATTAGTCTATGGTTGGCGGTCAGTGCCTGAAGAATCTCTCGCTGCTCAGTTATTTCCTTTTATATAATCTCTCATATATAACCTTACATTAGTCTATGGTTGACGGTCAGTGCCTGAAGAATCTCTCGCTGCTCAGTTATTTCCTTTTATATAATCTCTCATATATAACCTTACATTAGTCTATGGTTGGCGGTCAGTGCCTGAAGAATCTCTCGCTGCTCAGTTATTTCCTTTTATATAATCTCTCATATATAACCTTACATTAGTCTATGGTTGACGGTCAGTGCCTGAAGAATCTCTCGCTGCTCAGTTATTTCCTTTTATATAATCTCTCATATATAACCTTACATTAGTCTATGGTTGACGGTCAGTGCCTGAAGAATCTCTCGCTGCTCAGTTATTTCCTTTTATATAATCTCTCATATATAACCTTACATTAGTCTATGGTTGGCGGTCAGTGCCTGAAGAATCTCTCGCTGCTCAGTTATTTCCTTTTATATAATCTCTCATATATAACCTTACATTAGTCTATGGTTGACGGTCAGTGCCTGAAGAATCTCTCGCTGCTCAGTTATTTCCTTTTATATAATCTCTCATATATAACCTTACATTAGTCTATGGTTGGCGGTCAGTGCCTGAAGAATCTCTCGCTGCTCAGTTATTTCCTTTTATATAATCTCTCATATATAACCTTACATTAGTCTATGGTTGACGGTCAGTGCCTGAAGAATCTCTCGCTGCTCAGTTATTTCCTTTTATATAATCTCTCATATATAACCTTACATTAGTCTATGGTTGGCGGTCAGTGCCTGAAGAATCTCTCGCTGCTCAGTTACCTGCTTCCGTACATACGGTCATATCTCAGTTTATGGTCATATCTCAGTTTATCGTCGGAGGAATGTCTAGAGCGGTGGGTGCCGAGCACCGACTCCGGGAGCGCAGTGACACCGGGCGGTCTGTGGCCCGGGCGGCGGCGCCTCTGCGCGGAAGGGCATCGCCTGCGTGGCGGCCCCTCTGCCCGGAAGGGCATCGCCTGCGTGGCGGCCCCTCTGCCCGGAAGGGCATCGCCTGCGTGGCGGCCCCTCTGCGCGGAAGGGCATCGCCTGCGTGGCGGGCGGCCCGGGCGGCGGCGTTCGGTGTCGCGACGGCACCGCGTGTGGCAGGCTTGGAGCGAGGGTCGCTCCCCTGGGAGGAGCTGCGGGACCTTGCCGCGGTGCTGGTGGAAAGCCGGCCCCTGGCGGCGAACCGTGAGCGCCCGAGGGCTTCGAACCCCTGGTGTGACCGGCCTTGGTGGCCGCTGTGCTGACTCAGCGTCCTCCTGCGGGACGCTCTGGGGGCCGCCGGTAGGTGGCGCAGCCCCCGTCAGCTCTGTGGCCGCTGTGCTGACTCAGCGTCCTCCTGCGGGACGCTCTGGGGGCCGCCGGTAGGTGGCGCAGCCCCCGTCAGCTCTGTGGCCGCTGTGCTGACTCAGCGTCCTCCTGCGGGACGCTCTGGGGGCCGCCGGCAGGTGGCGCAGCCCCCGTCAGCTCTGTGGCCGCTGTGCTGACTCAGCAGCCTCCGGCAGACCGCTTAGAAGTAGGCAGACCGGGATGAGAGATGTTGCACACCGCCCGCTCATTCGCCGCACCCGCGCCGCGCCCCGCCCCGCCCCCTCCTCGCCCCCTTATCGCCCCGCCCCCTTCTCCCACGCCCCGCCCCCTTGCCGCACCCTGCCCCCACTGCTGTGCCCCGACCCCTCACTGCCATGCCCCGCCCCTCCTCACTGTGCCCCGCCCTCACTGCCGTGCCCCGCCCCCTCACCACTGTGCCCCGCCCCCTCCTCGCTGTGCCCCGCCCTCTCACCACCGGGCCCCGCCCCCTCCTCGCCACTCCCCGTCCCCTCCTCGGCCACCTGATGGGGGTGGGCCCCTTGCTTATCGCTCACGTGAATGTCTTGACCTCGTCACTGTCCTTAGGATGACCTCTCTCAGGACTCCGCCCCCTAACCTGTACCCGATCCGTAGAGACGCTTCTGGGCATGCGGGGCCTCGCCTGTCTCTGCCCGCAGGTGGTGGCCCCCAGCCCAGCTGCGCTCTCTTTGTCCTTTTCTGTCCTGTCTCTTTATTTCTCGGATCCCGTGCCTCGGCACAGCCAGCGGGGACACCCCACGGCCCGTAGGGTGCAACCCTACAGGGGGCATGTGTCTGGGCTCACCGGGTCTTCTGGGGGCGTCCTGTGTACAGGGTGGAGAGGGCCCCAGGCCACAGAGGCCTTGCACTTGCCATCTTTGTGTGATTTTCAGAACTCTGTTTTTCTGCTTTGAAAATTATGTTGTGCTATCACTTGCTCAGGTCTGACTGTAATTATATAGTTCTCAAGGTGTGCTGTAGGCTATGTGGAGGCTGTGTGGGAGCTTGTCACAGAATTAACATCACGACTGGGAATTAAAATGTGTTACAAGTTCCAAAGCGCCAGTGTTGAAGGCCTGAGGACCTTCTTATCTTCAGGGATTCATGCCAGGAAGCTCCAGGAGTTCTTGGATGGAAGCCTCATGGCCCCGGGCACCCATGACCATGAGGTCCAGCTCTAAGCACAGACCCAACAGGCCCCTGAAAGTTGCCCTCACGGCCTGGGCAGGTTCCCTTCCATGGAGGGTCCTCTGTGTTACCTCAGTGTGACTTGAGAATCCACCCTGCACCTGCTGTACGTGCTAAAGAAAGAGTGTGCATGCGTGTGTGAGCCTGGTCCATGTGCAGCTGTGCCTGTGAGCAGCAGTGAGCTTTGATGAACAGGCGGCTCTCGGCACCACGCTGGGCATCTCCAGGAAACTGCAGGACCACCAGAGCCCAGCGTTCCTGTACTAGTCAGCCTACACAGGGCCGCCCCTGACGGACGGGCATCCTGCCCTGTGCGGATGCTCCAGGGTGGACGCAGCCGCCTGCCACCCGCCTAGTCCTCTGTGGCCTTTTCTCCTAGACGATCGCCCCGTGAGAGAGAGTGAGCGGAAGGCTTCCCAGCTGCATTTTGCATCAGAGGACTCAATGGACTCAAAGGAGAGCATCCCAGCTGCTTTGAAAGTGGGCAGGTATGAAGAGAAGTGCTTGGATGCCCAGAGTGTTTGACACTGGCCTGCTGCCAGGAGGATTGACTGTGAGTCACGTACTGTGTGTGCCAGTCTCTGCCAGGAGGATTGACTGTGAGTCACGTGCTGTGTGTGCCAGTCTCTGTCGGGAGGATTGACTGAGTCACGTGCTGTGTGTGCCAGTCTCTGTCGGGAGGATTGACTGTGAGTCACGTACTGTGTGTGCCAGTCTCTGTCGGGAGGATTGACTGTGAGTCATGTGCTGTGTGTGCCAGTCTCTGTCGGGAGGATTGACTGTGAGTCACGTGCTGTGTGTGCCAGTCTCTGTCGGGAGGATTGACTGTGAGTCACGTGCTGTGTGTGCCAGTCTCTGTCGGGAGGATTGACTGTGAGTCACGTGCTGTGTGTGCCAGTCTCTGTCGGGAGGATTGACTGTGAGTCACGTGCTGTGTGTGCCAGTCTCTGTCGGGAGGATTGACTGTGAGTCACGTGCTGTGTGTGCCAGTCTCTGTCTGGAGGATTGACTGAGTCACGTACTGTGTGTGCCAGTCTCTGTCGGGAGGATTGACTGTGAGTCACGTACTGTGTGTGCCAGTCTCTGTCGGGAGGATTGACTGTGAGTCACGTACTGTGGGTGCCAGTCTCTGTCAGGAGGATTGACTGAGTCACGTACTGTGTGTGCCAGTCTCTGTCGGGAGGATTGACTGTGAGTCACGTACTGTGTGTGCCAGTCTCTGTCGGGAGGATTGACTGTGAGTCACGTGCTGTGTGTGCCAGTCTCTGTCAGGAGAATTGACTGAGTCACGTGCTGTGTGTGCCAGTCTCTGTCGGGGAATTGACTGAGTCACGTGCTGTGGGTGCCAGTCTCTGTCTGGAGGATTGACTGAGTCACGTGCTGTGGGTGCCAGTCTCTGTCTGGAGGATTGACTGTGAGTCATGTGCTGTGTGTGCCAGTCTCTGTTGGGAGGATTGACTGTGAGTCACGTGCTGTGTGTGCCATTCTCTGTTGGGAGGATTGACTGTGAGTCACGTGCTGTGTGTGCCAGTCTCTGTCTGGTGGATTGACTGTGAGTCACGTGCTGTATGTGCCAGTCTCTGTTGGGAGAATTGACTGAGTCACGTGCTGTGGGTGCCAGTCTCTGTCGGGAGAATTGACTGAGTCACGTGCTGTGGGTGCCAGTCTCTGTCGGGAGGATTGACTGAGTCACGTGCTGTGTGTGCCAGTCTCTGTCGGGAGGATTGACTGTGAGTCACGTGCTGTGGGTGCCAGTTTCTGTCTGGAGGATTGACTGTGAGTCACGTGCTGTGTGTGCCAGTCTCTGTCTGGAGGATTGGCTGTGAGTCACGTGCTGTATGTGCCAGTCTCTGTCGGGAGGATTGACTGTGAGTCACGTGCTGTGTGTGCCAGTCTCTGTCAGGAGGATTGACTGTGAGTCACGTGCTGTGTGTGCCAGTCTCTGTCGAGAGGATTGACTGTGAGTCACGTGCTGTGTGTGCCAGTCTCTGTCGGGAGGATTGACTGAGTCACGTGCTGTGGGTGCCAGTCTCTGTTGGGAGAATTGACTGAGTCACGTGCTGTGGGTGCCAGTCTCTGTCTGGAGGATTGACTGAGTCACGTGCTGTGTGTGCCAGTCTCTGTCGGGAGGATTGACTGTGAGTCACGTGCTGTGTGTGCCAGTTGCTGTCGGGAGGATTGACTGTGAGTCACGTGCTGTGGGTGCCAGTCTCTGTCGGGAGGATTGACTGTGAGTCACGTGCTGTGTGTGCCAGTCTCTGTCGGGAGGATTGACTGTGAGTCACGTGCTGTGTGTGCCAGTCTCTGTCTGGAGGATTGACTGTGAGTCACGTGCTGTGTGTGCCAGTCTCTGTCGGGAGGATTGACTGTGAGTCACATACTGTGGGTGCCAGTCTCTGTCGGGAGGATTGACTGTGAGTCACGTGCTGTGTGTGCCAGTCTCTATCGGGAGGATTGACTGTGAGTCACGTGCTGTGTGTGCCAGTCTCTGTCGGGAGAATTGACTGAGTCACGTGCTGTGGGTGCCAGTCTCTGGAGGATTGACTGAGTCACGTGCTGTGGGTGCCAGTCTCTGTCGGGAGGATTGACTGTGAGTCACGTGCTGTGGGTGCCAGTCTCTGTCAGGAGGATTGACTGTGAGTCACGTGCTGTGGGTGCCAGTCGCTGTCGGGAGGATTAACTGTAAGTCACGTGCTGTGTGTGCCAGTCTCTGTCGGGAGGATTGACTGTGAGTCACGTGCTGTGTGTGCCAGTCTCTGTCAGGAGGATCGACTGAGTCACGTGCTGTGTGTGCCAGTCTCTGTCTGGAGGATTGACTGGGTCACGTGCTTTGGGTGCCAGTTGCTCTCCAAGGGCAGGTGCCAGGAGGGAGGAAAGGAGAGCCTGGCCCGTGTGCAGGGACTCCGTGGACGGTGGGACAGGACCTCTCTCCTGTTCTTGATACTTCCTAGAGGTCACTTCTAATACTGAAAGTGTTAAGGTAACATGTAAAAGCAACCCAGCAAAGGGTTTGTCATGTCCATCTTCCCAGGACTGGCAGCTCTCAGTCTGTGGTCGCCTCTGCTTCTGGCTTTTGTTTCAGTTCCTTTCTCAGCTGCCCATCCAACCAAATCCCTTTCCTGGCGGGGAGCGCCTTCACCTGGACCCACCTGCCTGGAGAGAGGAGGACTCTTCTTCCCCAGCCTTGCCAGGACAGCGCTGGGTTGCATCCTCCTGCCTTCCTCCCCACAGCTGGTGCCGGCGAGGCTGCCTTGGTGGACCATGGGCATGCGTGTGAGCCGGGCCTGCCTCTGTGGACTGTGGGCATGATGTGAGCGGGGCCTGCTTCCCCTTGCAGCCCCAGCCCTGCTGCCTGCATTTCTGTGTTGCGTTGATGGTATCTCCCTGTATCCGAAAACCCTAGAGAGACTTTGAGTTTTGTTTATGGGTTGATTCAAGGGACAGAAGTTAGTGAGCTCTGTCTGCATTGCTGTGGGAAGTCGTTGGATTATATGCTGTTTCTTGAGCAGTGTTTTATCTGAAGCTTCTAATCATTTTTTTTCTGTGCAAGATGCCTTAGCTCATTTTAAATTCCTCTAGTGCAGGTGTCAGCTTTTTTTTTTTTTTTTTTTTGAGTTGGAGTATTGCTCTGTGTCCCAGGCTGGAGTGCAGTGGCACAATTTTGCCTCATTGCAACCTCTACCTCCTGGGTTCAAGTGATTCTCCTGCCTCAGCCTCCTGGGTAGCTGGGATTACAGGTGCCTGTCACCATGCCCAGCTAATTTTTGTATTTTTTTAGTAGAGACGGGGTTTCACCATGTTGGCCAGGCTGGTCTTGAACTCCTGACCTCAGGTGATTCATTTGCCTCAGCCTCCGAAAATGCTGGGTTTACAGGCGTGAGCCACTGTGCCCAGCCATGTCACCTTTTTTTGTGTGAATGTTTTGGGCCCTGCAGGCTACATGACCTCTGTCCTAGCTTCTCAGCTCTGCCTTTGCAGGGTGGAGGCAGCCGCTGGCAATACAGAAATCATGACGGTGAGCCCATATGCTGCCTGCCCACAGTGCTGGCAGAGCCAGATTTGACCTATGAGACACCTGCCCACAGCACAGGCAAGGCCAGAATTGACCCATAAGACACCTGCCCACAGCGCAGACAGGGCCAGATTTGACCCGTCTAATCTGGGCTGTCACGTTTGTGGGCATACAGTTGTTCATAGCATTCTTCTGTTTCCCTTTAATGGCTCGGATCTGTGGTGATGATCCCTCTTTCCTGTCTGGGATCTGTGGTGATCCCTCTTTCCTGTCTGGGATCTGTGGTGGTGATCCCTCTTTCCTGTCTGGGATCTGTGGTGATGATCCCTCTTTCCTGTCTGGGATCTGTGGTGGTGATCCCTCTTTCCTGTCTCTGGGATCTGTGGTGGTGATCCCTCTTTCCTGTCTCTGGGATCTGAGGTGGTGATCCCTCTTTCCTGTCTGGGATCTGTGGTGGTGATCCCTCTTTCCTGTCTCTGGGATCTGTGGTGGTGATCCCTCTTTCCTGTCTCTGGGATCTGTGGTGGTGATCCCTCTTTTCTGTCTCTGGGATCTGTGGTGGTGATCCCTCTTTCCTGTCTCTGGGATCTGTGGTGGTGATCCCTCTTTCCTGTCTCTGGGATCTGTGGTGGTGATCCCTCTTTCCTGTCTCTGGGATCTGTGGTGGTGATCCCTCTTTCCTGTCTCTGGGATCTGTGGTGGTGATCCCTCTTTCCTGTCTCTGGGATCTGTGGTGGTGATCCCTCTTTCCTGTCTCTGGGATCTGTGGTGGTGATCCCTCTTTCCTGTCTCTGAGATCTGTGGTGATGATCCCTCTTTTCTGTCTGGGATCTGTGGTGGTGATCCCTCTTTCCTGTCTGGGATCTGTGGTGGTGATCCCTCTTTCCTGTCTGGGATCTGTGGTGGTGATCCCTCTTTCCTGTCTGGGATCTGTGGTGATAATCCCTTTTTCCTGTCTCTGGGATCTGTGGTGGTGATTTCTCTTTCCTGTCTGGGATCTGTGGTGGTGATTTCTCTTTCCTGTCTGGGATCTGTGGTGATGATCCCTCTTTCCTGTCTCTGGGATCTGTGGTGGTGATCCCTCTTTCCTGTCTGGGATCTGTGGTGGTGATCCCTCTTTCCTGTCTCTGGGATCTGTGGTGGTGATCCCTCTTTCCTGTCTGGGATCTGTGGTGATGATCCCTCTTTCCTGTCTCTGGGATCTGTGGTGGTGATCCCTCTTTCCTGTCTGGGATCTGTGGTGGTGATCCCTCTTTCCTGTCTCTGGGTTCTGTGGTGGTGATCCCTCTTTCCTGTCTGGGATCTGTGGTGATGATCCCTCTTTCCTGTCTGGGATCTGTGGTGATCCCTCTTTCCTGTCTGGGATCTGTGGTGATCCCTCTTTCCTGTCTGGGATCTGTGGTGGTGATCCCTCTTTCCTGTCTGGGATCTGTGGTGATGATCCCTCTTTCCTTCTCTGGGATCTGTGGTGATGATCCCTCTTTCCTGTCTGGGATCTGTGATGATCCCTCTTTCCTGTCTGACATCTGTGGTGATGATCCCTCTTTCCTGTCTCTGGTATCTCTGGTGGTGATCTCTCTTTCGTGTCTGTTATTAATTTTGTCTTCTGTCTTTTTCTTAGTTAACATTTCCTTTTCCTGTCAGTGTTGGCATTTCAAAAGTTTTGAATTTTGGAGCATTTTGGATTTTGGAATTTTGGACTGGGATTGCTAAACCTGTACTCGGAGCTCAGGCTGTTGTCTCTGTAGCTACCCTTGGGCTGGGCTTGGGGAGTGGACTCAGCAGATTTGAGTCTCACAGTGTCGGTCTGTCTTGAAAACTGACTGTTTTCCTGCACAGTTGGTAGCTGGGTATTGAGTTCCAAAAAAGTTCATTCTGTTACCTTTTTCTATTTTTTATAAGTTGATATTTATGGAGGGCTAGAATTTGGAGCTCTTTTCTCTGCCATTTTTGCTGACACCACTCCAAATATATTTTTATTCTGATTTATGAGATTGTTTCAAATTTTTTCTCTCTTGTTATAATACGTATGGGAATAAAGGAAGCACTTTTATTCAGTATGATTGGAAATGTAGTCAAAAAAGCTTACTAGTGTCTTCCTTGGTTTCAGATTTACTTATGTTAAAACTTTACAATGGTATTTGATTGGTCTAAAACACATAGAAAGGGATGAAAGAAAGGGAGTGAGAGTCTCCCTCATTCACCATTCATGCTGCGGACCAGGAGCGGCGGCAGCGTGGAGATGTGTGCGTGCCTCCCTGATTTCTCAGGGTGCGTGCTGACACAGAGCGCCACTGCATGTCAGATTACTCTTCCTGCCGCACACTACTCTCAACATCTAGACGATGAGAACAGGGTACGCTTCATACCGAAGTGGCATGAACACGAGGGTTGGTGACGGACACGCCCGCCGGTTGTCTTTCTGGATGTCCGAAATCATCATGTCCTGGCATCAAAGCATAGTCATGGATTTTCTCACTTGAGATTGTCGACAGTTTCTGTCCTTGATCATCTCAAGACTGAATGATCCCAGAGATTAGAGTTCGGGATGACGTGAGTCAGTGTCTGTATCACACAGAGATGACAGTGGACGCCCACTGAGCTGTGCTGAGTGTGGGGCGTCTGGGGAACCCTGGAAGGAACTGTGCTGAGTGTGGGGTGTCTGGGGGAGTCCCAGGTGGCGGAGCTGTGCTGAGTGTGGGGTGTCTGGGGGAGCCCTGGCCCTGGGGGGGAACTGTTCTGAGTGTGGTGCGTCTGGGGGAGCCCCAGGTCTTGGGGAGCTACGCTGAGTTTGGGGCTTCTAGGGGAGTCCCAGACATGGGGAGAACTGTGCTATGAGTGGGGCATCTGCGGAAGTCCCAGGCCCAGGGAGAACTGTGCTGAACGTGGCCATCTGGGGGAGCCCCGGACATGGGGGAGCTGTGCTGAGTGTGGGGCATCTGGGGGAGCCCCGACTCTGGGACTCAGTTCTCCTGCTTTGTGCAGGCCTTGGGGTGTGGGACTGGCCTCCTCAATGGACTGGGCGTCTACATATGAGCCACCTCAGAAGGCTAGTGGTGTTCCTGGTGGCTGCCCTTGGGTTTGTTTGCTGCAACATCTCGTAACTGCCTTAGTTGGAAACAAGGTCCGCTTTGAGCACACTCTCCTCAGTATAGAGGGGTCATGGCAAGGTGGGGTGTATTCTGACAGCATGAAATATTTTCCCTGAATGGGAAAGTGGGCGTTTGGAACGTTTAAGTTTCTTGATCACATGTATCTCCTTGTGGCTAGGATAGGAAAAGGGTAAGTTGAATTTTAACCTGCTAAGACATAGCAGAACAGAACCTTCCAGAACTTTAATTTTTGAGCCAGTCCTAGTGGGGTTGTGTGCAGTGCTGAAGGTGGTGTCACCCAGCTGTTGCTCACCACCTGTCCTGGGTGGGTCCCTCTTCCGGTGGGGTTGTGTGCAGTGCTGGGATGGTGGTGTCACGTGACCCGGCTGTTGCTCACCGACTGTGCTGGGTGGGTCCCTCTTCAGCGTCATTCCAGTGGGAGCAACAGGACCCACTGCCCCACAGTCACACCAGACTGCTCCCCTCAGAGACCTTGCAGGCAGTTTCCTTCTCGGGGTCTGCGTGGGCTGGAGCAGAAGGCTGGTTTGAGAGATGCTGATGAGTTTGCCTTTCCTTGCAGACCACACCACCCCAGAGCCAGGGGCACCGAGGCCTCAGCCAAGCAGAGCCTGGTCATGGATGCGGACGACGAGGCGGTCCTGAGCCTCATTGCAGAGTGTGAGTGGGACCTCGGCAGGCCTCCCGGGAGCGCGAGCTCCAGCCAGAAGGAGCGCGAGGCCTACTCCTGTGCTTCCCAAGGTGGGCTGCTCACCTGCCTGCCTGGAGGCCAGCGGGGCCGCCGGCTGTGGGATGTAGTTGTCACTGCCTTGAAGGGCACAGTTGCACTTTTTATGGGACTTACCTGTGAGGGTGTGTGTGCTTTCCAATGCCAGCCACGTGGACTGCAGAGTTACAGAAGAAAAACCTTACTGTGTTTGAGTATAGTCATAGTGCGTGATCATTTAAATTGTATCCTTCTGAGATCACGGGAAAAGGCAAACTGTCTACAATAGTCCAGGAGACGAGTGTCCTGTGGCTATGAGGGCTGACATCAGCGGCAGCTTAACTTGTAGGAAACCCCTGAGCGCAGCTGCCACATGTAGACATCCAGTTCCCAACCTGATGTCACGGGAATGCCACTCGGGGCATGAAGGCTTCACATACATCCCTCAGCAATGCCACCTTCTGCTCGGGCACGGAGGCTTCACATACATCCCTCAGCAATGCCACCTTCTGCTCGGGCACGGAGGCTTCACGTGCATCCCTCAGCAATGCCACCCTCCACTCGGGCACGGAGGCTTCACATACATCCCTCAGCAATGCCACCTTCCACTCGGGCACGGAGGCGTCACATACATCCCTCAGCAATGCCACCTTCTGCTCGGGCATGGAGGCTTCACATACATCCCTCAGCAATGCCACCTTCCGCTCGGGCACGGAGGCTTCACGTGCATCCCTCAGCAATGCCACTTTCCACTCGGGCACGGAGGCTTGACATACATCCCTCAGCAATGCCACCTTCCACTCGGGCACGGAGGCTTCACATACATCCCTCAGCAATGCCACCTTCCACTCGGGCACGGAGGCTTCACGTGCATCCCTCAGCAATGCCACCTTCCACTCGGGCACAGAGGCGTCACATACATCCCTCAGCAATGCCACCTTCCGCTCGGGCATGGAGGCTTGACATACATCCCTCAGCAATGCCACCTTCCACTCGGGCACGGAGGCTTCACGTGCATCCCTCAGCAATGCCACCTTCCACTCGGGCACGGAGGCTTGACATACATCCCTCAGCAATGCCACCTTCCACTCGGGCACGGAGGCTTGACATACGTCCCTCAGCAATGCCACCTTCCACTCGGGCACGGAGGCTTCACATACGTCCCTCAGCAATGCCACCTTCCGCTCGGGCACGGAGGCTTGACATACAGTCCCTCAGCAATGCCACCTTCCTGCTCGGGCACGGAGGCTTCACGTGCATCCCTCAGCAATGCCACCCTCCACTCGGGCACGGAGGCTTCACATACATCCCTCAGCAATGCCACCTTCCACTCGGGCACGGAGGCGTCACATACATCCCTCAGCAATGCCACCTTCTGCTCGGGCAAGGAGGCTTCACATACATCCCTCAGCAATGCCACCTTCCGCTCGGGCACGGAGGCTTCACGTGCATCCCTCAGCAATGCCACCTTCCGCTCGGGCACGGAGGCTTCACGTGCATCCCTCAGCAATGCCACTTTCCACTCGGGCACGGAGGCTTGACATACATCCCTCAGCAATGCCACCTTCCACTCGGGCACGGAGGCTTCACATACATCCCTCAGCAATGCCACCTTCCACTCGGGCACGGAGGCTTCACGTGCATCCCTCAGCAATGCCACCCTCCACTCGGGCACGGAGACGTCACATACATCCCTCAGCAATGCCACCTTCCGCTCGGGCATGGAGGCTTGACATACATCCCTCAGCAATGCCACCTTCCACTCGGGCACGGAGGCTTGACATACATCCCTCAGCAATGCCACCTTCCACTCGGGCACGGAGGCTTGACATACATCCCTCAGCAATGCCACCTTCCACTCGGGCACGGAGGCTTGACATACATCCCTCAGCAATGCCACCTTCCACTCGGGCACGGAGGCTTGACATACATCCCTCAGCAATGCCACCTTCCACTCGGGCACGGAGGCTTGACATACATCCCTCAGCAATGCCACCTTCCACTCGGGCACGGAGGCTTGACATACATCCCTCAGCAATGCCACCTTCCGCTCGGGCACGGAGGCTTCACATACATCCCTCAGCAATGCCACCTTCCGCTCGGGCACGGAGGCTTCACATACATCCCTCAGCAATGCCACCTTCCGCTCGGGCACGGAGGCTTCACATACATCCCTCAGCAATGCCACCTTCCACTCGGGCACGGAGGCTTCACATACATCCCTCAGCAATGCCACCTTCCACTCGGGCACGGAGGCTTGACATACATCCCTCAGCAATGCCACCTTCCACTCGGGCACGGAGGCTTCACGTGCATCCCTCAGCAATGCCACCTTCCACTCGGGCACGGAGGCTTCACATACATCCCTCAGCAATGCCACCTTCCGCTCGGGCACGGAGGCTTCACATACATCCCTCAGCAATGCCACCTTCCGCTCGGGCACGGAGGCTTCACGTGCATCCCTCAGCAATGCCACTTTCCACTCGGGCACGGAGGCTTGACATACATCCCTCAGCAATGCCACCTTCCACTCGGGCACGGAGGCTTCACATACATCCCTCAGCAATGCCACCTTCCACTCGGGCACGGAGGCTTCACATACATCCCTCAGCAATGCCACCTTCCACTCGGGCACGGAGGCTTGACATACATCCCTCAGCAATGCCACCTTCCACTCGGGCACGGAGGCTTGACATACATCCCTCAGCAATGCCACCTTCCACTCGGGCACGGAGGCTTCACGTGCATCCCTCAGCAATGCCACCTTCCACTCGGGCACGGAGGCGTCACATACATCCCTCAGCAATGCCACCTTCCGCTCGGGCACGGAGGCTTCACATACATCCCTCAGCAATGCCACCTTCTGCTCGGGCACGGCGGCTTCACATACATCCCTCAGCAATGCCACCTTCCACTCGGGCACGGAGGCTTCACGTGCATCCCTCAGCAATGCCACTTTCCACTCGGGCACGGAGGCTTGACATACATCCCTCAGCAATGCCACCTTCCACTCGGGCACGGAGGCTTGACATACATCCCTCAGCAATGCCACCTTCCACTCGGGCACGGAGGCTTGACATACATCCCTCAGCAATGCCACCTTCCACTCAGGCACGGAGGCTTGACATACATCCCTCAGCAATGCCACCTTCCGCTCGGGCACGGAGGCTTGACATACATCCCTCAGCAATGCCACCTTCCACTCGGGCACGGAGGCTTCACGTGCATCCCTCAGCAATGCCACCCTCCACTCGGGCACGGAGGCGTCACATACATCCCTCAGCAATGCCACCTTCCGCTCGGGCACGGAGGCTTCACATACATCCCTCAGCAATGCCACCCTCCACTCGGGCACGGAGGCTTCACATACATCCCTCAGCAATGCCACCTTCCGCTCGGGCACGGCGGCTTCACATACATCCCTCAGCAATGCCACCTTCCGCTCGGGCACGGCGGCTTCACATACATCACTCAGCAATGCCACCTTCCACTCGGGCACAGAGGCTTCACATACATCCCTCAGCAATGCCACCTTCCGCTCGGGCACGGAGGCTTCACATACATCCCTCAGCAATGCCACCTTCCACCGGGAGTGTTGATAGGCTTAGTTTCATTATTCCACCTCCATTGTGAGTTTCTGAGAACTTTTCATGAAAACAGCAGGTTGATACCTGAGTTTGGGCTGAAATCCTAGATTAATCTGGGCAAGGCCATCTGCCCTGTGGCAGCAGTGCCCAAGCCGCATGCATGCCAGCGCTGGATGCTGACTCTAACCCTGTCTCTGGCCGGGGGTTGTGGTATCTGTTTATGGCTGAGGCCCGCCGCTGTGGGGACACTGGCTGTGGGTGCCTCTTCCTTTCTCTTCAGGTCTGCCCAGCTTTCTCCTGGGGTTGCTTCTCTTAGGATCGAGTCCGAAGAGATCTTGGTGTTTGACACAAGCCCCGTCTCAGGCGCAAGCGCTGTTGGTTTCCACCCTTCTGTGGTTGCCTTTTCATTTTCCAAGCACTGCTTTGAAAAGCACGAGTTTCAATTTCAATACAGTCTAGTTTATGAAAAGTTTTGTTTTGTTTTTAAGACGATGTCTCGCTCTGTCCCCCAGGCTGGAGTGCAGTGGCACGATCTCAGGTCACTGCACCCTCCGCCTCCCAAGTTCAAGCAGTTCTCTGGCCTCAGCCTCCTGAGTCGCTGGGATTACAGGAGCCCATGCCCACCTAATTTTTGTATTTTTAGTAGAGACAGGATTTCGCCATGTTGGCCAAGCTGGTCTTGAGCTCCTGACCTCAGGTGGTTTGCCCGCCTCAGCCTCCCAAAGTGCTGGGATTACAGGCGTGAGCCACCGCGCCCGGCCAGAGAGCACATGTTTTAATTTCAGTCCAGTCCAGTTCATGAGTTCTTTTCTTTGATGGTCTGGGCTTTTGTGTGTCTGTAAAGGAATCTTTGTCCACCCCATGCTTGTGAAGATTTTCTCTCGTGTTTCCTTACAGATGTCCCATAGTCTTAGTGTCTAGCTGTACAATTCACTTTTTGGGGTTAGTTTTTTTGTGTGTTGTGAGTTAACAGGTCAAGACATCCCCGCTACATTTATAGCTGACCCTTTGTATGCATTGGTTTTGAATCTCTGGATTCAACCAACCATGGATCGAAACTACTTGGAAATATTACAGAAATCCGCCCCCTCCCAATACAGCAATTAAAAAATAATACACTGTAACTATTTACACAACATTTATTTGTTTTGTATTTTTGTAGAAATGGAGTCTTGCTATGTCGCCCAGCCTGGATTCAAACTTGCAGACTCAGGCGATCCTCCTGCCTCAGCCTCCTCAGGATCCTGGACTGCAGGCATGTGCCGCTGTGGCCAGCTATGGTAGTGTTTGTGTTGTGTTTCATGCTGTAAGTAGGGAGGGCCAGCTACGGTAGCGTTTGTGCTGTGTTATGTTTGGTAAGCAGGCGAGAGATGACTTGTAGGGGAGGAGGTGTGTAGGTTATATACAGCTAAACCGTTTCACGTGAGAGTTGTGCGTCCTTGAATCTTGCCGTCCCTGAGGTGTCCTGGAACCAATCCTCTGCGGAAACTCAGGAATGACTGTACATTCAGCTGTTCTGATGCCTTTTGTTGAAAAGGCTCTTTTTCCTCATTGATTACTTGGCACGTCGGACCTGAGACCATCTGGACTCTGTCTTCTGTTCTGTGCCTTGTTTTGTTTGCGTTCCCGCCTCATGCTGCTGGATTCTTGCAGACACATCCTGAGTCCCGCAGTGAGTGGGGCCAGCTCACTAGCCCCCACCTTCTCTGCTGCTAGGAGTCACTGTGCATTCACTCTGGAGTCACCTGGCACGTGATTAACCCCTCAGTCTAGCCGATACCATACGCTGTTCAGAAGCTTAAAATGCAATTTTTAATGAAATAAATCTTGTACAGTATTTAATGAAATCTTTTATTTACAATATTTTAATAAAATAGAATCCAGACATCTGTTGAGCCCGCAGTCACTCCAGCACCAGTGTGGGGACTCCGGGAGGCAGGGCCGAGAGATGAGGTGGCGCAGCTGCAGAGGGTGCTGTGCAGAGAAGGCGCCTCGGAGCTGGCCCTGTGGAGAGCACCCGCCACAGCCACAGCCACAGCACGCCACGGAGGCGCATGGGGCGCACGCCCGCTTCACCCCACACCCAGGTACCTCGTGTGCGTCTTAATCTGTTTCCTGCTGTTATAACCCAGCTCTGTGGAGAGTGCCCGCCCCAGCATGCAGTGGAGCCGGAGGCCTCCCATGCCCACGGGACACATGCCTGCTTCACCCCACACCCAGCTACTCACACACGTCTCAGTCTGTTTTCTGCTGCTAGAACAAAAAAACTGCAGACTGGTAATTGATAAAGAACAGAAGCTTATACGGCTCATGGTTCTGGAGACTGGGAAGTCCAAGAGCACAGCGCTGGCTCCTGGTGCTGGCCATCCCGGGGTGCAGACGGAGCCAGCTTGAGAGAGTGGTGGAGAGAAACTCATCCTGATCAGGAGCCCCGCCTTGCGATACGGCATTCCTCCCTCCCTGAGGGCTGGCCCTGCGACCTCGTCACCCCTGAAAGGCCTCTCTTAATACTCTTACGATGGCCGTATGTTTCCGCCTTAGGAACTTTGGGGATTCCTTGAAACCACAGCAGCATGAAACCCGTCAACCTTTATTCCCTTCCTTTCCTTTTTAAGTGGTTACATATTTTTCACAGTGTTTGCTTTTACTATGAAATTTCCGTTCTCTTTACATTTATTTATTTGTTTGTGGAACTCTCTAAAACATCTTTGGAAAGAATGCAGCACGCTGACATTTATAGTCCCTTGATGTTTGAGATTCATGGTCGCTGAGTAGTCAGTTGCTTTTTCTCTGCACGGGTGTGTGCTTCCTGCCTTTCCGCCCCCCTCGCCCCTCCCACGCACACACACACTTTCTTTTAAGTATATGGGCCCAGGTTATGGCAGTAGCAACATTTTGAAAACCAAGGTGAGAAAAGTTAACCGAGAGTGTCCTGTGCTTTCTTGTGATGCTCATCTCTGTGGTGTAAGTATCAGGAAACCTCCCACCACGAGCAGGCCAGGTGTGGTGGCTCATGCCTGTAATCTCAGCACTTCGGGACGCCGATGCAGGTGGGATCATTGGAGGTCAGGAGTTTGAGACCAGCCTGGCCAACATGGTGAAACCACATTTCTACTAAAAATACAAAAATTAGCTGGGCGTGGTGGCACATACCTGTAATCCCAGCTACTCGGGAGGCTGAGGCTTGAGAATCGCTTGAGCCTGGGAAGTGGAGGTTGCAGTGAGCGGAGATTGCACTACCACACTCCAGCCTCCACTACACTCCAGCCTGGGCAACAGCAAGACTCCAACTCAAAAAATAAAAATAAAGATAAACCTCGTCTTGAGTGAGCTTAGCACCTTCTGGAAGCTTGCTTGTGCCCAGCTGGTGAGAGGCAGGGCCGCTGGGTGGAGGGGACCTAGCCAGGTTGTGTGTCGGCCACTATGGGATGTGGTCTTGAGTTGACCCTGCCCATTTTGTGCCTTCTCCTGCCTTCACTGTCCTTCCCCAGACAAGGTGGCCCTTCCCTGGGCCTTGTGTGTCTGGGGGCTTAGTGATTGGCACAGTGCATGGGACCCACCACCTCGTGGACCGTCAGAATCTGTCACTTCACCTGCCATCAGAGATGGATGTGTGCTTAGACGTTGTCTGGAGCTCTTCATTGACGTGTGTTGCACGCTGGTCATCCTGGGCTGAACACGTCAAGCTGTGGCAGTCCGTGTCTGCGTCATCCAGATTCCCCTAGAGTTCCTGTGTTAGCACGTATGCCCGTGTGCCCTTTCCTCCCTCAGTGCCCGCCCTCTGCATGTGTCTTTGTACAAGTGTGTGTGTACATGTGTAAGTGTAAATGTGTGCCTGTATGCATATATACAGGGGAACACACATGCCTTTCAAAAGTTACAGTGCTAAACCATGCACCCGGACGATTTGGCCTGACATGGGCCCCGTCCTCTCTGTATTGCAGACTCTGTGGATACTGAGGACTCAGCCTCTTCACAGAAGTTGGATTTGTCAGCAGAAATGGCGCCCGGTCCCCTGCCTGCCGCTGGAAAGTGCAGGAAGCAAAGAATGCCTGGTGGAAGATTCCAGGTCTTTTCAGAACAGAAGTGTCTGGGCTGCCTGGAGGGGACTCATGGGTCCTGCAAGCCCGAGGAGAGCGTGAGCAGAGAGACCAGCTCAGAAAGCAGGAGTGGGAGGACCTTATCTCAGCCCGAGGCCTTGGAGACTGAGGAGCAGAGGTCTGGGGGCGTGAACGATGCTGGAGAGGTAAGGGAAGGGCTGGGGAGTAGCAGGCCACTGTGCGTCTTCCTCACGTGGGGCTCGGTTTCGGCAATGCCATGACTTACGCCTACGGCACTGACCGTGTCCTAGAATACAGGGAACCATTACGTGTAGGTTTCCAGGGTGCTTGTTGCTGTGCCTTTTTGGACGTGTGCCTCTGTGCCGTGTGCTGCTCCCGCAGTGCCTTTCTGAGTGGAAGCCCCGTGGCAGAGAGAGGGGACTCTGCCTTATGGTGTACGGGGCGTTTGTCTCCAGAGTCGGAATCGGGCATCTTGGCTGGCTTAGCCATCGATGACCCTGTTGTGAGTGGGGAGGATCCTGGAGGTGGTTCTGATGAGAGACCAAGAGTCACGCCACCATCAGGGTGGCCTAGAGGCCATGGGGACAACGGCACGGGCCCAGTCGGGGCTGTCAGGACACATAGGCTGTGGGCGTGAGTGCAGACCACCCGGAGGAGAAGGAGCAGTGGCTGTTCACTTGGTGTTTGCCACTACAAGGGCTTCAGACTCACAGGCAGGCAGAGGGGCTGGAAAGTGTGGAATTGGGGGGCCAGAGGGGAAGGCAGGGTTGGAGCTGGTGGCGGCTCTCTAGCAGCAGCGGGTGGAGGGTCCAGAGCTGGGTGGGGTGCCTTTGACATCCCTGGCAGGTCCTGAGCTGGAAGGGAGGCAGATATGGGGGAGGTGGGCAGTCACTCTCAGAGTTATTGTCTGACTCTTGGGCCATGGCTGGGGAAAGCGTCGAGCACCCTGCAAGCCTGCCTTTAGGCCCAGGCCGCCTCTTGGCCATCCCTTTCAACACAGGCTCTGACCACAGCCTGGCGTGTCTTCCACTTCACTGCCTGGGTTGACAGAAGGAGTCTGGGGCATCCTTGAGATGGGAACTTGTGGTTTCTATCCTGTCCTGTCATCCAGACCTCACTCACCCAGGACCTGTAAGTCATCCAGACCTCACTCACCCAGGACCTGTCAGTCATCCAGACCTCACTCACCCAGGACCTGTCAGTCATCCAGACCTCACTCACCCAGGACCTGTCAATCATCCAGACCTCACTCACCAGGACCTGTCAGTCATCCAGACCTCACTCACCCAGGACCTGTCAGTCATCCAGACCTCACTCACCCAGGACCTGTCAGTCATCCAGACCTCACTCACCAGGACCTGTCAGTCATCCAGACCTCACTCACCCAGGACCTGTCAGTCATGCAGACCTCACTCACCCAGGACCTGTCAGTCATGCAGACCTCACTCACCCAGGACCTGTCAGTCATCCAGACCTCAGTCACCAGGACCTGTCGGTCATGCAGACCTCACTCACCCAGGACCTGTCGGTCATCCAGACCTCACTCACTAGGACCTGTCAGTCATCCAGACCTCACTCACCCAGAACCTGTCAGTCATGCAGACCTCACTCACCCGGGACCTGTCAGTCATGCAGACCTCACTCACCAAGGACCTGTCATGCAGACCTCACTCACCCGGGACCTGTCAGTCATCCAGACCTCACTCACCCGGGACCTGTCAGTCATGCAGACCTCACTCACCAAGGACCTGTCAGTGATGCAGACCTCACTCACCCAGGACCTGTCAGCCATCCAGACCTCACTCACCCAGGACCTGTCAGTCATCCAGACCTCACTCACCCAGGACCTGTCATGCAGACCTCACTCACCCGGGACCTGTCAGTCATGCAGACCTCACTCACCCGGAACCTGTCAGTCATGCAGACCTCACTCACCCAGGACCTGTCAGTCATGCAGACCTCATTCACCCGGGACCTGTCAGTCATGCAGACCTCACTCACCAGGACCTGTCAGTCATCCAGACCTCACTCACCCGGGACCTGTCAGCCATCCAGACCTCACTCACCCGGGACGTGTCAGTCATGGAGACCTCACTCACCCAGGACCTGTCATGCAGACCTCACTCACCCAGGACCTGTCAGTCATGCAGACCTCACTCACCCAGGACCTGTCAGTCATACAGACCTCACTCACCCAGGACCTGTCAGTCATGCAGACCTCACTCACCAGGACCTGTCAGTCATCCAGACCTCACTCACCCAGGACCTGTCAGTCATGGAGACCTCACTCACCCAGGACCTGTCATGCAGACCTCACTCACCCAGGACCTGTCAGTCATCCAGACCTCACTCACCCAGGACCTGTCAGTCATGCAGACCTCACTCACCCAGGACCTGTCAGTCATGCAGACCTCACTCACCAGGACCTTTCAGTCATCCAGACCTCACTTACTCAGGACCTGTCAGTCATCCAGACCTCACTCACCCAGGACCTGTCAGTCATGCAGACCTCACTCACCCAGGACCTGTCAGTCATGCAGACCTCACTCAGCTGGGACCTGTCAGTCATGCAGACCTCACTCACCAGGACCTTTCAGTCATCCAGACCTCACTCACCAGGACCTGTCAGTCATCCAGACCTCATTCACCCAGGACGGACGCACCTGGCTAAGCCTACAAGTGAGCACTGCTGAGCTGCCCTCTGCCTGGCTCAGGGCTGGGGACTTCTGGCGCCTGCCTTCACTTCCCCTCTGTGTTAGAGCATGTTTCAGGGTGCTCTTGGGACACCTACTGGCCTCAGCACCTCAGTTCTCACACTGGCTCCTGGGGCCCACGATTTTGTTTCCATCACAGCCATCTCCCAGGTCGCACTCAGCTCCCCCCGGGAAGAAGGCAGGCCTGCCGGCGGCGCTCCTGGAGACGCTCGTGGACCTGGTGGACAGGAGCCGGGGTGGCTGCAGGTCTCTGCACAGCAACGAGGCATTCCTTGGTGAGTCAGTGTGGCTGCCGGCTCTCGCCCTCCTGGCGACATCTGTGTGGGATCCTGGTTCCTCTGCGTGTGGTGACCTGGGAGTCATCTTAGCCCTTCCCACGTGCGTGTGGCGGTCCCGCACCGGGGCCTTCCTGGCAGTCTGCCTCTCACAGTCGCCACGGCTCTTGGCACCACATGGGCCTGGGCCTGTGGGTCCCCCATGTGCTCTGGGTGTTGGGGGGCTGTCACCTTGTTTTGCTCCGAATGCGTTTGGTTCTGATGGTGGTGCTCACGTGGGGGTTTGGGGTCTGGAAGCTACCGCGTGTCTCCCTGACCCACGCATGTAGCTTGTGCTGGGCCTGCCTTGCCCTGACCCATGCGTGTGGCCTGTACTGGGCCTGCCTTGCTGAGCTTCTGCTTGGCGTGGGGCCCAGCAGGGCGGTCCCTCCACAGACAGGACTCAGGTCTGTTTGATTCTTCCGGGTGACCTGTGTGGGAGCACGCTGGGGTCGCCCTCATCTGGGGTCACACTTGGAGACCAGGAGGTGCCATGTCCCCGGTGGCACCTTCTCTTTGTCCTGCAGCCTGGGGTGTGGCTGTGCGTGTCCCTCAGGAGCCGGGGCTCACTAGCCTGTTCCTCCTGGCAGACCCTGGGGGTGGCTCTGAGCTGTCTGAGCGCCCCCTGAAGCGTTGCGGCCCCTCAGCTCCTAGAATGATGACGCCCTGCAGTTGCAGCCCGCTTGGACCCCAGCCCCTTAGACGCCCCCCTCCCTCGGCTGGTGTTCTGCGGGAGCCTCCTGAGCTTGCTGTGGTCGGTGGCAGCAGCACTGTCCCTGGCTCAGGCCGCTGTCCCAGTGTGGAGTTGCCGGCTGTCGTCAGTGTAGTGGTTTCCACACCAGGGTGGTCGGTGCTTGTGGAAGGCGTAGCGAGTTGCGGTGGCGCCATTGAAACCTTGAGACGTGGTGGCCCGTCGCAGCCTTTTTTTGGGGGTCACTTCTTCTTTTTCTTCAGTTCCTACCCGGCCCGTGTGGACGCACAGAGCCTGAGGTGGTTTCATGGTGCCCCCTCCCTGCCTGCTGTCTTTTTAAGGTATCCTCTGTGTGATTCAAGACGCACTGAGCCGGACTTGTTTATGTTCACCCTTTCAGCCTCGGTGCTAACGTAACATTTGATTTTCGCTCCTAGCTCAGGCAAGACGCGTCTTGTCCTCTGTTGAACTCGCTGCAGCCCAGGACGGCTCCGCGATGATGGGTGAAGACGTCGGCTCCCCGGCTCTGGGGAGCAAGTCCCTGCAAAGCCGCCTTGCGGAGCAGCAGCGGCGGCACGCCCTGGAGATGAGCGAGGTGACGGCGGAGCTGCACCGCGCACGCAAGGAGCTGGTGAGCCCGCCCTGGCAGTGCTGCTGCGTCCGTGTGTGGGGGAGATGGGCTTTGACTTCCAGGAGTGAGGGCTGCTCCTCGATGCCACACTGCCCCGGCCGCCACTTCTGCAGCATCTCGTCTCCCCTCCCTGCCCGGGACCCAGCCGCCCCCAGGATCACGGCCGGCCCTGTTCCGCAGCAGGCCGGAGCACTTTGGAGACAGCAGTAGTGCTGGTCATCTTCCTTCCTTGGAGGGGCTGGGCGGGGGTGGTGGGCAGGGGTGACGCCGGCCGGAAACGGTCTTTAGGCCCCTGTCCTCTGGCCCAGGCTCCCCAGTCCCCTGCCGAGAGGCTCCAGTGCTCCAGGCCGTCGCAGGCTCCCTGCTGCTACCCTGCCTGTGCCAGCTGAGCAGCCCCCTCCCCCGGGTCCGAGGGAGCCTCCAACACGGGGCGGGGCCGGGCGCTGCAGGAGCCAGGCCTGGACCTGACTTTATCTTGTTGACCCGCCTCACAGGGCCTTAAATTGGAGACACCCGAGCCCACTCTCCTTTTACAAAGGAGATGATGGCCAGTGTCCCACAGGGAGGTGGGGCTACAGGGCAAGTTACCCCAAAACCGGCGGCTGAAAACCCACCTTTATCAGCTTGGATTTATGTGGATCAGGCCTCAGGCTCAGCTCAGTCAGGTGTGTCCGTCTCCGCCTCCACCGAGGCCTCCTGGGCAAGATCCTCCCAGGCCCCTCCTGCCTCCCCATGGGCTGCTGGAGTCCTCGGGACATGGAGGGGGTGGCCAGAGAGCCACGCCCAGACAGAAGCCGCCCTCCGGGAGTCCTGGTGAAGGCAAGGCCCCACGAGGGTGTGCACACCCGGGGGGCCTCATCAGCATCTGTAAAATGGGAGTGAAGCCACTGTGGGAGGGCTGGGAAAACCACCTCTGAACTTGTCTGCCAGGTAGATGCTGTCTATTCTGTGAGAACCTACATCTCAGAGAGCCCATACAACGTTTCCTCTTTAGAGAAGGAAAAGGACAGATGGCGAAACAGCACAGGCAGCCTCTGTATTTAAACACACGTGGCCCTGCCCCATCCCGTCCAGAAGCCTCTGTTTAAACACACGTGCCCCCCCCAATCTAAAAGTCTCCCTTTAAACATACGTGGCCTTCATCTAGAAGCCTCTGCATTTAAACACGTGGCTCCCTGTCCCGAACCCTGCATTGAAATACACATGACCCCCTACCCCCGGTTTGGAAGCCTCTGCATTTAAACACACGTGCCCCGCCCCCCCAGTCCGGAACCCTCTGCATTTAAACACATGTGGCCCTGTCTGGAAAGTGAGCTGGGCACCATCACTGCTGATGTCTTTTCTGTGGGACGCAGCAGGGTACCCCCCCTGCCCTTCTGAGCCTGGGACCACACAGAGCTGACAGATGGAGCCCGAGGGTGAGCTGAGCAGCAGGGCCGCCTGGGGTGGGAGTCACGTACAGCTGTAGCCACCATGGCAGCCTGCTTTTTCACCCTGTGCTGTTTGCCCACCCCTGTCCCTCGGGGCAACCCTGGGCCACGGGACAGAGCAGCCCCAGTTCCCTGGTGAGTGATCCGGAAGAGTCACCACGGGCAGGAACCCCGCAGAGAGAGCAGCCGGCAGGCTGGTAGGCGCTGCCTTCCAGGGAGGTGTATCTGTCATTCCAGAAGCACCCAAGTTTACTCTGCAACACGGGGATGCGCATCCTTCGGTCACATGAACCGTGCTTCCTGTGGAAGCTGCAGTGGTGTGTCCTGGGGTGCAGTTGGCCCCACTCCCAGCTGCTGTGCTGGGCACGGCCTCTGAAGCAGATGTGCTGTGCCCAGCCTGGGTGCAGCTGGTCCTCTGTTCCCTGCACCTGCCGTGGCCTCAACTTCAAAATTAAAAATCAGTCGTGTGGTGGCACGTGCCTGTCATCCAGCTATTTTGGTAGGTGGAGGCAGAGGCTCAGGAGTTGAGGGCTGCAGTGAGCTGTGATTGTGCCACAGCTCTCCAGGCTGGATGACAGAGCAAGAACTTAAGTTCAATGAAAAAGAGCTGGGAGCTCACAGCCCCACCTTACAGAGCTCATCGCATCCTTGGGAGGCCAAACCACGAGATGGGCGCTGCCACGAGCTTTCAGAATGGCCCAGAGCCCTGCGAGGAGGGTGGGTGGTGCAGGTTGGCATCACCTCAGCAGACGCCTTGGGCAGGAGACTGCAAAATGAAGAATTGGTGAAGATAAGCCTGAGGGGAAGAGTCTCAGACCTGGCGATCAGCCTTCACCACGGGTGTTGGGAGCCTGGTGGATGTCTGCATGCCAAGGGGGCCATTGGCGGGTGGGCTCAGGCAGGTGGGCTCTCCGAGCAGAGATACCCCGAGCACGAGGGCTCTACCGCACATTCTCCAGCGTTCCCTCCCTTGGGGGCAGCAAGGTGGGGCCTGCTTAGCGCCCCTGGCCCCGGGATGTGCCTGCTGGTGCCTGAGAAAGCAGCAGGCAGGTGAGACTGGATCCCTGGGGACCCTGGCTACAGCTGCTGGCGGCTTGGATGGCTCACGCCTCACTAAGCACCCTGGGGCCGGGGAGGGGCAGAGGCTGCCATGTGGCTGCGGGCATGGCCCTGTCTTCTCCTTGATGACAGCATGTCCTGTGCTCCACGTGTTCTCCATACTCTGAGGATATGAGAGCCAGAGCAGAAGGGGATTCCTGCAGGGCCCCCGTGCCTCATGTGGCACCAAGGCCTGGAACCTGCAGTGTCTGTGAGGGCGACCTGGGAGAGGCCCCAGCTCCCACCGGCTGCCCTGCCCGGCACTGGACCTGCAGGTCCCTCTGGACCACACACCTCTCGGCAGACTCAGGAGTGGGGATCTCTTGGGTCCAGGCGCCCCTTTCTGTCCCCTCCTCTCTTTCTGCCCCTACCCTGAGGGTACAGGAGGTTTGGGGACTCAGAAGTGGGGCTCTCACAGGCTGGGGTGCCCCTTTCGTCCCCTCCTCTCTTACCAAGGGGGCTGTGGGGCTGGGCAGGGCTCAGGGCTGGGAGCAGGGAGCTTTGCCAGAAATGGAATCATTGCCTTCACATTGCGACTACGCGAAAGGAAGCCTCTGGGATTTTCAAAAGGTTTCAGTTCTGTGTTCTTCATGCATTTTACTGAATTTGACTTGTGCATTTTGAGTGTATTTTCTGTGTCCCCAGAATGATTTGAGACAACATTTAGATACATCTTTGGAAGAGAATAGTGGCTTAAAATCGCTTTTGTTCAGTATGAAAAAGGAGGTGAAAAATGCAGACGCTGCAGCTACATTGAATTTGCAGATCACTGGTAAGTTTGGTTGGTAAGACAACGTTGTAATCAGATCAGTGTTTGGTTGTGCCTGGGTTGACCTGTTTAAATTCTTACTGAGGGAGGGAGCAACCGCAGACGCAGTTGGTAAGTGCAGAGCTGAGCCCCTGCCTCGCGGCTGGCGGGGAGGCTGCCTCCGCCGGAGTTTGTGCCACAGACACGTGTTGGGGAGGTCTTGGCGTGGATGTGGCATGGCAGCCTGTGTGGACAGTGAAGTTGGCTTCATTATATATGCTGTGGGAATGTCACTCCGGCTCCTGTCAGCCTGTGTGGACAGTGAAGGTGACTTTGTTACACGCTGTGGGAGCGTCACTCTGGCTCATGTGGGCGCTGTGTGGACAGTGAAGGTGACTTTGTTACACGCTGTGGGAGTGTCACTCTGGCTCTTGTGGGCGCCGTGTGGACGGTGAAGGTGGCTTCGTTACACGCTGTGGGAGCGTCACTCTGGCTCATGTGGGCGGCCTGTGTGGACAGTGAAGGTGGCTTCGTTACACGCTGTGGGAGCGTCACTCTGGCTCATGTGGGCGGCCTGTGTGGACGGTGAAGGTGGCTTCGTTACACAGCGGTTGCTTTGCTTCGTGGCCGTTTCTGGGAACCATCAGCGGGAAGCGAGGACGTGCCGGACTCTGTCTTGACTCAACCTTCCTTCCAGTGTGAATTTTTTCTTTGATTGCTAATTCTTCCCTGAGTGCAGACATCTCTTTTCTGACATTTCCGTCATTGTTTTTTCATCTCTTCTGTCATTTCCTTGTTGTATTTTGCTAATTTTGAAATAATGGCTACGGTGTGTGGGTTCACTGTGGGCGTGGCTTGTCGTGTGATATTCTTGTGCCCTTACCCTTTGTCCTACAGAAACTGTGGGATTTGGCTTTGATACTTTCTACTCCTTTTCACATGAAATTTATTCTTCTGAACCTCAAGGAGGAGGCAGGGTCAGGACAGCTTTCTGACCTCATGGATCAAGGCCAGGGCAGCTTTCTTCTGAGGATTCTCAGGCCCTGTTCTCTCCTCCACCCTTCTCTGATGCTGTCATCTATTTGACCTTGACCCTGACCCCATACCCATTGTTCTTCTTGGTGCTGGCTCTGTTCTACAAGGGACCAGGTGGGTCAGCTTTGAGGGATAACAGGGCTGCACCAGCTTTCCACACCACACGGGGCTCCCTGGCCTCACCATCTTGGGTGGGGGGCAGGGCTGTGGTTGCCTAGTTGGCCCACTGGGTTTCCCAAGGGAGCAAGGACACTTGGGGGCTGTCAGCTACCCACTGCTGACAACTGCCTCACCCCCGCAGAGGTGGACATGGGGTGCGACATGTGGCTGCTGGGGGTTTGTCCCAGCTCTTGTGTTTGGGGTCCCAAGGCTTCCTTGTCTCTGGGAAGCTGTCGCATTGTCCCCGGGGTGCTGTCACGTTGTTTCTGGGGTGCTATAGCTTAGATGGTTTTGCCTCTAAGGACTCTTGGTTTGACCACCATGGGGACTGTGGAATGTCCCAAAACGGTGCCACCCTGCGTTTCCTTCACTCATGCCCTCCGTGAACGTATATGTTGACATAGACGCCACATGGCATGGCGTGGCATGGCCTTAACACTGTGGCTGCTCCTGCAGCACCACTGCCTTGTGGGTGGGAAGGGCCTGCCATAGATGTCACCGTCACCCTCCGCCTGCTGCTTTCCCCCACCCCGCCTTTCTCACTGCCCTGGTCACCATGTGCTTCTGTGAGAGTGGGTCTATATGTGTGTTTATTTGTATCCCATGTGTGGGTTTGGAAAGCCACTAAAGAATATCTCTCCTCTCCTCTTGCGTTGGAAATCCAGAAACAGGCAGGGGTTTGTAGATGGAAACCAGCCACGTGTTTTACCGCTGATGGATGCAGAGGCAGAGGGCACTGGGGAGACCTGTGGTCACTGTGGGCCGCTTGGTGCTTTTCCTGAAACCCATGGGCTCTCCCATGAGGGACAGAGCATGCTTCCTGGTGGAGGAGAAGCCAGCAGACAGGCCCAGTGGCGGGGCCTCCAGCCGGCGCTGCCTCCCCTTGCCGTCACACGGATGTGGCTCCGTGGGGGGCTGTGGAAGGCAGACCACACAGCTTCAGCCCTGGGAGGGCAGGGGCAGAAACAGCACAGGTGGGGCCGTGGCATTCATGCTCACCCCGTCTTTGCGTCTCATTAAAACTGATCTTTTCCCGCTGTATTCTTCTGGTAACCAAGATCCAGTTTAAATCTAGAATTGTTTTCATTTTCAAAATGTATGGATGATTTTACTAAGAAGTGACACTTGGTTTTCTTTCTTTTTCAGGACTTCAAACAAGCGTGACGAGGCTGTGTGGTGAGATTGTGGAGCTGAAGCAGCACCTGGAGCACTATGACAAGATCCAGGAGCTCACGCAGATGCTGCAGGAGAGCCACAGGTGCCACCAGGAGGCCTGGCAGGGCCCTTGGGAGGGGGCTGAGGCACAGGGAGGGCAGGGCTGGCCTGGGTCGCACCAGAGGGCACAAGGAGTAGCTGCTCGTGAGTCTTGGTGGATGGCACCCAGGACCCCTGCTGACTTGAAACTTCCACAAATGTTCCTCTGAAAACTGAGGTCTTTCCTGCTCTAGCAGGTATGTGACTGTGAGGCGTGGACTGTGAGGTATGTGACCCTGGGGAGTGGGTCATGAGGTGTCAGCCATAAGGCATGACTGTGAGGCATGGACTGTGAAGTATGACTGTGAGGTGTGGACTGTGAGGTGGGACTGTGAGGTATGGACTGTGAGGCGTGGACTGTGAGGTGTAGACTGTGAGGTGTGGACTGTGAGGTGGACTGTGAGGTGTGGACTGTGAGGTGTGGACTGTGAGGTGTGGACTGTGAGGTGGGACTGTGAGGTGTGGACTGTGAGGTGTGGACTGTGAAGTATGACTGAGGTGTGGACTCTGAAGTATGACTGTGAGGTGTGGACTGTGAGGTGTGACTGAGGTGGGACTGTGAGGTGTGGACTGTGAGGAATGGACTGTGAAGTATGACTGTGAGGTGTGGACTGTGAGGAATGGACTGTGAGGTGTGGACTGTGAGGCATGGACTGTGAAGTATGACTGTGAGGTGTGGACTGTGAGGTGTGGACTGTGAGGTGTGACTGTGAGGCGTGGACTGTGAGGCGTGGACTGTGAGATGGGACTGTGAGGTGGGACTGTGAGGTGGGACTGTGAGGTGTGGACTGTGAGGTGGGACTGTGAGGTGGGACTGTGAGGTGTGGACTGTGGAGGTGGGACTGTGAGGTGTGGACTGTGAGGCATGGACTGTGAAGTATGACTGTGAGGTGTGGACTGTGAGGTGTGGACTGAGAGGTGTGGACTGAGAGGTGTGACTGTGAGGTGTGACTGTGAGGTGTGGACTGTGAAGTGTGACTGTGAGGTGTGGACTGTGAAGTATGACTGAGGTGTGGACTGTGAGGTGTGACTGAGGTGTGGACTGTGAGGCGTGGACTGTGAAGTATGACTGTGAGGTGTGGACTGTGAGGTGGGACTGTGAGGTGTGGACTGTGAGGTGTGGACTGTGAAGCATGACTGTGAGGTGTGGACTGTGAGGTGGGACTGTGAGGTGTAGACTGAGGTGTGGACTGTGAGGCGTGGACTGTGAGGTGGGACGGTGAGGTGTAGACTGAGGTGTGGACTGTGAGGCGTGGACTGTGAGGTATGTGACCTTGGGGAGTGGGTCATGAGGTGTCAGCCATAAGGCATGACTGTGAGGCATGGACTGTGAAGTATGACTGTGAGGTGTGGACTGTGAGGTGGGACTGTGAGGTGTGGACTCTGAGGTGTGGACTCTGAGGTGTGGACTGTGAAGTATGACTGTGAGGTGTAGACTATGAGGTGTGAATTGTGAGGTGTGGACTGTGAGGTGTGACTGAGGTGTGGACTGTGAAGTATGACTGAGGTGTGGACTGTGAGGTGGGACTGTGAGGTGTAGACTGTGAGGTGTGAATTGTGAGGTGTGGACTGTGAGGTGTGAATGTGAGGTGTGGACTGTGAAGTATGACTGTGAGGTGTAGACTGTGAGGTGTGAATTGTGAGGTGTGGACTGTGAGGTGTGGACTGTGAGGTGTGGACTGTGAAGTATGACTGAGGTGTGGACTGTGAGGTGGGACTGTGAGGTGTAGACTGTGAGGTGTGAATTGTGAGGTGTGGACTGTGAGGTGTGACTGTGAGGTGTGGACTGTGAAGTATGACTGAGGTGTGGACTGTGAGGTGGGACTGTGAGGTGTGGACTGCGAGGTGTGAATTGTGAGGTGTGGACTGTGAGGTGTGACTGTGAGGTGTGGACTGTGAAATATGACTGTGAGGTGTGGATTATGAGGTGTGACTGTGAGGTATGGACTGTGATGTGTGACTGTGAGGTGTGACCATGAGGTGTGGACTGTGAGGTATGGATTGTGAGGTGTGGACTGTGGGGCATGGACCGTGAGGCGTGGACTGTGAGATGTGGCTGAGATATGACTGTGAGGTGTGGGCTGTGAGATGTGACTGCGAGGTATGGATTGTGATGTGTGACTGTGAGGTGTGACTGAGATATGACTGTGAGGCGTGGACTGTGAGGCGTGGACTGTGAGGTGTGACTAAGGTATGACTGAGGTATGGGCTGTGAAATGTGACTGTGAGATGTGACTGGGGTGTGGACTGTGAGGTGTGAACCGTGAAGCGTGGACTGTGAGGTGTGGACTGTGAGGTGTGGACCGTGAAGCGTGGACTGTGAGGTGTGGACTATAAGGTGTGGATAGTGTGGTGTGACTCTGCATGCGATGTAACTGGGGAGTCAGGCATGTGGAGATGGCCGGGTGTGGCTTGGCATCCTGGTTCCCTGGACCGCACTCCTGCAGCTCTGCTTCCCCTCACTTCAGTTCGTGTTCAGTTAGAAACATGGAGATGTCACCTTTGCTCCCTGGCTACAGTGGGGTAGTGAGAAGGAGGCTGGGTGTGAGGGGTTCCTCAAGGCGGAATCTTAGTTTGTATTCAAAGAATTGTGTGTTGGGAAGTGGTTGAAGGTCAGGTGCAGTAAGGAAGAGGTGAGCTGCTGGAGGAGGCGAGGACAGGTGGCTCTGGGCGGGTTTGTGGGTGCTGTTGTGTGAACCCCTGTTCCTGTGGCCTAAGCAGGGAAGGCTGGTCTGTGGTCAGTTCCTCCCCCCACTTCCCCTCCCTTTCCCCCTCCCATTCTCCCTCCTGTTCCTCTCCACTCCCCCCTCCCTCCTTCCCCCTCCAGCTGAGGCTGCCACACACCTCACTTGGGTTAGAGTACAGTCTAGTCATATGTGTAGCCAGGCTCTGCCCCTTCCAGGATAAAGGCCACAGACCCCCGTGGGTCCATCACAGGTGTAAGTTAGAGGGGAAGGGTCCTGAAAGGTGAGACTGGGCCGAGGCAAGATGCGGAGGAGCAGAAGGGAAGGGGATTGTGACAGGCACAGTGCAGCCACACCACTCCAGGTTCCGGGTTCCACTCCCTGGAACCTGGCAGGCCTGTCTGTGGCAGGTCAAGGTAGAATTGGGGGTCACGCTCCTTGAGCATTGTGGCCTGGATGTGGACGAGGCAGGGTGCACAGCTCCCAAACATGGTAGGACTGGGCTTCTGCCCCCAGGATCCATGCTGGCTTCATCCAGTCTGGGCCTCTGCCTGCCAGCGGCTCCATGGTGTCCAAGCGAACAGGGCCTGTTCCCGCACAGTGTCTCTGTCCATGGCGTGCCCATCTCTGCAGCTAATGTGGCAGAGGTCAGTGGGCCCTGCCTGGTCTAATCCTTGCAATGCCCTGAATGCCCTTAAGTCACCGCTGACTGGGCAAGCAGGGCAATTTGGAGATGACACAGTTGGTAAAATGCAATAGCACTTTATTCCCTAAAAATCCTTTCTAGAATAAAATGGTCAACAGTATTAAAAACTAGGACTTTTTCTATTAAACTATTATGATATCAAAATTATTAGATTGTACTGGGAATCAGATTTCAGTTCTGTATCATTTCCAGAGTTAGAAACATTGTTTTGTCAACCATGATGCTTATCATCCTCTTGTCTTTAAAAACCGCGTGTAGCTGGAATGCCAGAGGGGCATTCACTCGCTCATGAGCCCATTCAGGCTCATCCATTCTCAAGCTGCTCGGGGGTCAGCCAGTGGCTGGGAAGGGAGGAGGCAGTAGCCAGTGGGGACACAGGGGATGGGACCACGGGACGGGCTGTGGAAGGAGCGTGTGTGTGGGGAGGTGCAGCCCGGCAGCTGAGGGCAGCCCCACTGGTAGGGGACGGAGCCTCAAGCAGCCGCTTCCCGCCGTTTCCGCAGCTCCCTGGTCAGCACCAACGAACACCTGCTGCAGGAGCTGAGCCAGGTGCGGGCGCAGCACAGGGCCGAGGTGGAGCAGATGCACTGGAGCTACAAGGAGCTCAAGAAGACCATGGCTCTGTTTCCGCACGGGAGTGCTGGCCCTGGACGCTGCCAGGCCTGCTGACTCCTGCCAGGGGCGGTGCTGCTCCTTGAGCTGCCTGCTGAACCGCGTGGCCTGTGCCTTCGTATTTCTTTACTGAGGTGTATTGGCTGGCAAGAGTTCTTGCTTCTGTTTGTAAGTACTTAGGATTTTTGGAATGTATTCAGGGCTATAGCTTGGTTTTCTAAAGCATCCGAAAATGATATGATCCATCCAAGCCCTTCGCATGTTTGAGGCAAAACACATTGATATATTTTGAGACCAACTGACCATTAATCTTTCATCCAGTATCCAGAGATGAGTAAATGCCAGTGTTTCACTACCTGATGTAAAATGAGAGCTATGGATGATCTTTATTTAATAAATGGACACATTGTTCTGGAAAAGTTTAAACCTTTGAAGTGTCTTTATACATAACTTATAAACAGCTGTCCTTGTGAGTATATTTGCAGAGCAAGTTATGCACCATGCTGGGTGAGCAGGAATGATTAAGTTCAGGCGTGATACAAGGAACAATTACAGAGGTGGGGAAAAAAAAAATCCTTATAGAGTGTTGTTTTACGGTATGAAGCGTATTGTAAGCTAAAGCATCTGCCCAAGCCCTGTGTTGAGCCTCCTGCAGTGAGCTTCCGGATGAGTCATTGCTGTTATAGACACAAGAAGCGGATAGTTGGAAATTTTCCTATCTACGGTGTCACAATTGCTGTGATGCATAAACAGGGTGTTTTTAAAATTATTTTAAATGATTTGGGAAGATGAGCAGGCCTAAGAAATCGCCTTGTGCTAGCGTGTGCCGGTGGTGTATTGTGTAATGTGTGTGTGCATTGCGTGTCGGTGCGTGTGTGTGCATGCTCCTAATGTGTGTCGTGTGCGTGTGTGTGCCGCGCTGCGGTGATCCCTGGGGAAATCAGAGGTGGCGGACTCCGCTGTCTGTTCCCCGGAGGAGGCTTCCTGGGCTTCAGGTTGCCCTGTTGTGTTCACCTCTCGTCTGGTATGGTTGTAACCTCAGCAGGAAAAGTGTCATACCAAAATTTATTTCTTGTAGGGTTGCAATGGGGTTCATCTGTCATCATAAATTATGTATGGCGAGTATAGAAGGGTAGCTACTTTAACCTATAGACGTTACTCCTTTGATTTCAGTGAGCTCTTGGACCTGTGAGTGCACTATTTTCCTCAGATTTGACAGAGTTTCGCCACATTCATATTTGTCTGACCATCTCTCTCACTCCTCCCTTCCCCCCTGCCCGGAGGGACTCCAGTATCGTTCTTGTTAGATTGGTCTGCTGTGGGTTGCTGAAACTCTCTGTTAGACGTGGTCTGTCTGTGGGTTGCTGAACTCTCTATTAGACTGGATCCTGTCTGTAGATCACAAAACTCTCTGTTAGACTGTGTCGTCTGGGTCACTAAACTCGATATTTCATCCTCTCTCACCTTACTAGATGGTTTAATGTCCGTGTGCAAGTTACATAATCTTTCTCACTGTATTGATTAAGCTGAT